TCTAGCAGCGTAAAATAATCGTGAATTCCATTAAGCAAGCCAATTAATTCAATACCACTACACTAGGCATGATCAAATATGCGCCAAGACATTGCTATCAAAAACTTTTTATGGAATTGGAAATATGTCAAATGTCCAGCTGATAAGCGTGGAAGATTATAGTGAATATTGTAAAAGAAACAACAAAAACTGATCGCTGCAGGTGTATCTGCCCGCCACCTTTCCCCCAACAAACAATTACAGAATAAGAAAAGAAAACTAATGGATAACAAAACTGGTATCCAAATTTCTGTGCAGAATATGACACTTTTTGAGTTCACTTCAAATCAGATGGTTTACTCAAGCTCAATATTTATTACGGAAATATTATTGTTGTGAAACAAGCTCAGTCAACAAGATAATCTGTTATGTTTATTTTTAACTTACCGTTCACAGAAATTCATACTTTATATTAGAAAGAGGAATGGCATAGTGTACAAAAAGGAAAACAAAGTTTGAGCCGAAAATGATCTATGATCGCTTCGATGTGCGGAATGCATTTAAAAACAGAAGTAAACATGAAACACAATGAAACCTCACCTGCTGGCTCTTTCACTGCAGCCTTTTGCATTGTTTCTTCTTTGTTGTTGATAGTTGGCATTTGCGCTTCCTCAGACATGGTGTGAAATGCGCACTGTAAGGAAAAAGCAATTGGGCATTATGCCAAATGCAGAAATCACGGCAACAGCAATAAGCACGATTGAACTGTGAGACATATCCGAAATTTAACTCGAAAAAACAAGATCAATCGATGTCAATACAAGAAAAAACTGGTCTGCTCATGCAAAACTGCGTTCATTTAGAACAAACAAATACGAATATCAATACGGACGCCAAAATAACCGCGACGCAAGGTGCCGCGCGCGACCACGTGAGCGTCGACTTCACGGCGTCGGCGTCGATACGCAGCCGGTCGGCGTGGTCATGGTTAACGAACATTGTCTCGTGGATGCATGGTTAGAAGCGGTTGGTATCTTGTTGTCTCTTTCGGTTGTTTGAGTGGGTTTTACTTGTTTTGAGTCTCTGTAGCGAAAGGGAGCCTGCTAGTGGGTGACGTCCCACTTCTCATTGCTAGTGTTGATTTTGCTCAACTGCAAGCACGAGAATCAATTAAGGAGAATTTTGCTCATCGTCAGTCATCAGTCCTGTCTGTGGAGCGTGGTCAACCCATTACCGTCAGTCTTCTGTGCAAAGTGGTACCGCTCCTTGCTATATTCCGCAACGAGACCTGGCGGCGTTGTTGTTTTGATGCGTTTGCGAAATAACTCGGAGATCAAAAACTGTGAATCAGGAGCCGGCTTCTAGAACGTAGTCTATGCTGTGACACGGTTGAAATGGCTGAGCACGAGACCTGCAACGAGTAGCGAATGCTTACGCTTTCCAGGCAGAATAACAGGTGGAGGTTTGCTGTTTATGATAGACCAGATTCTTGATTAATTGGCTAAGAAATCTACAAATAGGCGTTCTCGTGCTCTTGTTGAACAGCCATTATACAAATCAGTATAGCGATGTTTCAAAACATTGTCGATGATGGCTGCAGGCGATTTTGACTATTGGTGGTCTCAAAGTATTCATTTTTTTTTCGTGCTTATTCATTCGATCAGAAGACCGTTTGAATGGGGATCAGAAAGAGAATACGATTAATATCAATTTTCTACATCCAGCAGGTACATCGCATCAAAGTTCTGCTATAATGTTCCACCTATCAAAACTTACCACCTGCGTACTCATGGGTTAGTTTTGAATCTGCATATTGTCTGACGTTTGGGCAGAAGTAAGTGATGGTGATCAGAGAAGTAATAATTGGTCTTTTTGCTGAGCATCAAAAACTCTCTCGCCACATTCGCAACTATACAAATTTTTTTCCCGGCAAAGTTACATCCTTTGCTCACTGTAAGCCTCGTTGGAACCCTAATGGGAATTTTTCCGTAGATAGAGTTGTAACTTAAGGTTAGTTTTAAAGAGTTGTTGACATCGGAAATTCCATCAGTACTAGGTTGTCAGTTGTCTTTTAGCGAAAGTTATCGAATGAATGCCTTGCTCGAGTATCTGAGTTTTCGCATAATTGCGTAGGTATTAATTATCGAACAGGGTTTGGAGCTGCGTTTAGAATACATTCATATGAAAACTACTATATAAATGTTCGGCAAAGATGCAGAGTGATCGAATAATTGGGATCGAATGGTCATGTGCAAAATTATTCGCATAGGCATTCGGACACTCGACTATTTCGACTATCAGGAGGGGGGAGGGAATACAATAAAACGTTCATCGTCTCAAAAAATAATATGAAGAAAGTACATACGCACATGTACGGCCAGCGAATGTAAGGGACCATATTTCTCGTTTCTTTCGAAATTAAAGAATAACATTAGTCACGCCAGCGCCACTGTTGGGAATTCTACGAGAATGTTTATCAACTTCTCTTGCAATAAACTTCTCAGCAGAATAGAGAAAGCCAAGGTCTTTTGACGCAT